TGCTGGCTGTAGGTTTGTCATATATAGCTTTTATAATGTTGAGGTACTTTCCTTCTATTCCTAGTTTTCTTAGAGCTTTTATCATGAAATGTGTTGGATCTTATCAAAGGCTTTTTCTGCATCTATTGAGATGATCAAGTGGTTTTTGTCTTTGCTTCTGTTAATGTGGTTTATTACATTTATTGATTTTCGTATGTTGAACCACCCCTGCATCCTGGGATGAAGCCTACTTGGTCGTGGTGAATAATCTTTTTGATGTGTTGTTGAATTCGGTTTGCCATTATTTTGTTGAGGATTTTTGCATCAATGTTCATTAAGGAGATTGGCCTATAGTTCTCCTTTTTGGAGGTGTCTTTGCCTGGTTTTGGGATAAGTGTAATACTGGCTTCATAAAATGTGTTTGGCAGTTTTCCTTCCCTTTCTATTTTGGAACAGTTTAAGGAGGGTTGGTATCAGTTCTTCTTTAAAGGTCTGATAGAATTCAGCAGAGAATCCATCAGGTCCTGGACTTTTCTTTTTGGGGAGACTCTTGATTGCTGCTTCAATTTCATTTTGTGTTATAGTCTATTCAGGTGATTAATTTCCTCTTGGTTCAGTTTTGGATGATCATATGTATCTAGAAATCTGTCCATTTCTTTTAAGATTTTCAAATTTATTTGAATATAGGTTCTCAAAGTAGTCTCTGATGATTTCCTGGACTTCCATGGTGTTTGTTGTTATCTCCCCTTTTGCATTCCTGATTCTACTAATTTGGGTTTTTTCTCTCCTCATTTTAGTCAGGTTTGCCAGGGTCTATCGATCTTGTTTATTTTTTCAAAGAACCAACTTTTTGTTTCATTAATTCTTTGTATGGTTTTTTTGGTTTCTATTTTTGATTTCAGCTCTTATTTTTATTATTTCTCTCCTTCTATTTGTTTTGGGATTTGCTTGTTCTTGTTTTTCTAGGAGTTTGAGATGTATCATTAGGTCATTGATTTGGGATCTTTCAGTCTTTTTAATATATGCACTCATGGCTATAAACTTTCCTCTCAGGACTGCCTTAGCTGTGTCCCATAGGTTCCGGTAGGTTGTGTTTTCATTTTCATTGACTTCCAGGAACTTTTTAATTTCCTCTTTTATTTCATCGATGATCCATTCTTCATTAAGTAATGAGTTATTTAGTTTCCAGCTGTTTGCATGTTTTTTGTCTTTACTTTTGTTGTTGAGTTCTACTTTTACTGCATTGTGATCAGATAGTATGCAGGTATAATTTCTTTTTCTTATATTTGCTGAGGCTTGCTTTGTGCCCTAGGATATGATCTATTTTGGAGAAGGTTCCATGGGCTGCTGAGAAGAATGTATATTGTGTAGAGTTGGATGAAATGTTCTGTAGACATCACTAGGTCCATTTGATCTATTGCATATTTTAGATCTTGGATTTCTTTATTGATTTTTTGTTTGGATGACCTATCTATTGATGATAATGGGTGTTAAAGTCTCCCACAACCACTGTGTTGGCGTTTAATATGCTTTTAGGTCTTTCAGGGTATGTTTGATGAAATTGGGTGTGTTGACATTGGGTGCATACAGATTGATGATTATTATTTCCTTTTGGTCTATTTCCCCTTTTATTAGTATGGAATGTCCTTCTTTATCTCGTTTGATCAATGTAGGTTTGAAGTCTACTTTGTCAGAGATAAGTATTGCTACTCCTGCCTGTTTTCGGGGGCCATTGGCTTGGTAAATCTTCTTCCAGCCTTTCATCCTAAGCCTATGCTTATTTCTGTGTGAGATGGGTCTCCTGTAAGCAACAAATTGTTGGATCTTCTTTTTAATCCATTTCATCAAACGTGCCTTTTGATGGGTGAATTAAGTCCGTTAACATTAAGCGTTAGTACTGATAGGTATGTGGTGATTCCTGCCATTTAGTTGTCTTAGTTGTTTGAAAGTTTGATTGTGTGTACCTAAGTTGAGGTTACTCTCTACTCTTGCTTTTTCTTTTCCTGTGGTTTGGTGCTGCCTGTCTTTTCATGGTTAAGTTGGGTTTCACTTTCTGTGTGCAGAATCCCTTACAGAATCTTTTGTAGTGGTGGCTTTGTGGTCACATATTGTTTTAGTTTCTGCTTATCATGGAAGACTTTTATTGCTCCATCTATTTTGATTGATAGTTTTACTGGGTAGAGTATCCTGGGGTTGAAGTTATTTTCATTCAATGCCCGGAAGATCTCACCCCACGCTCTTCTTGCTTTTAATGTTTCTGTTGAGAAGTCTGCTGTGATTTTGATGGGTTTACCTTTGTATGTTACTTGTTTTTTCTCTCTTGCAGGCTTCAATATTCTTTCCTTAGTTTCTGAACTTGTTGTTTTAATGATGATATGTCGTGGGGGTAGTTCTATTTTGATCTGGTCTGTTTGGTGTCCTGGAGGCTTCTTCCATCTGTATGGGAATAGATTTCTCTAGATTTGGGAAATTTTCCGTTATTATTTTGTTGAATATATTGCGCATTCCCTTCACTTGTACCTCTTCTCCTTCTTTGATGCCCATGATTCTCAAGTTTGGTCTTTTGATGGAATTCATTGTGTTCTCTGTTTCACTTTGGTGTTTATACAGTGCTTCTATGGTTTCCTTTATTTCTTCTTTTGCTTTTTCAAATTCTCTATTTTTGTTGTCTTGGAATTTCTTGAGTGTCTCCTGTACATTTTGGTTGACCCTATCCAGTATCATCTCTATAAAATTCTCATTGAGTACCTGTAGTATGTCTTCTTTTAAATTATTCTTGTGGGCTTCATTGGGTCCTTTGGCATAGTTTATCTTCATTTTGTTAGAGTCTGGATCTCAGTTTCTGTTTTCTTCATTCCCCTCTGGTTCCTGTACTGATTTTTTGCTGTGGGGAAACTGGTTTCCCTGTTTTTTCTGTCTTCCCGTCATTGTCTTTGGTGTTGTTGCTGTCCCTGTACTGTGTGCAATTAAGTATTTTCTAGCTTGTAATAATAACAATGGTAATATTTAGAATGGAAGGGTGAGCTGAAATGGAAAGCAAGAAGTTAAAGAAAGGGGGAAAACAAATACACAGACAAGAGGGAGAAAGCAGAACAAGGTTTCAGACAAGAAAGTTTCAAAGGTATAAACAGGGAGCGTTAGTGTACTAATTGACAGTAAGTTGAACAGACATTAGAGAGAGAGAGAGGATTGAAAATCAAACATAAAAAAAATAAAAAATAAGTAAATGAAGGAAATATCTATATATAAATATGAATTAAAATAAAATGGAAAATAGAAAATTAAAAAAAAAAACCCAAAAAACCTCCAAGTTCAAATGCAATGAAGTTTCATATAATAATTTTCATATAATAATTTGGGTGTCTGTCTCAGTCTCCAGTCCTGGAGTTGGTGCCTTAGATGTTGTTCTGTAGTTGTCTCATCAAAGGGGATGCATAAAGTAGAACAAAACTACACACACACACACACACACACACACACACACAAAACCCACCAAGTGTCCCAAGTTCAAATGCAATACAGTTTCAGTAAGTTCTTCCTCTTGCAGGTGTAATTCAGTTGTTCTCTCATCAAAGGTAGGGAGAAAAAGAAAAAAAAAAGAGTCTGAAGACAGTTCTGAGAATGGTATCTGCAGCTGTGGCTTGCCTGCCTGCTGCTGTCAGCCTGCTGTTGCTGGAGGCGTTATTTATGCAGATCTGTGGGGTGAGCTTAGCACTCATCTAGCCCTGCAGGCTTTGTTTACTCAGATTTCTACTGTGCGTGAGCCTCTGCTACAAGCTTTCCCCTTTCCCAGCACACTGGGAAAGGTGATACTGCACCCGCCTTGTCAGGCCTGTGTGTTTATTTACAGTTCATGTGGGAGGTGGGTCTTCCCCCCTCTCCTGTGGAGTTTTCCTCCCACCGCCACTTTCACAAGCTTTCCTGCTCCTGATTACCGGGCAGTGCTGCTGCTCCTGCCAGCCGCCATGTTTGTTTGCAGTTCACGTGGGAAGTGGGTCTTCCCCCCTCTCCTGTGGAGTTTTCCTCCCTCCACCACTCTCACCAGCTTTCCCGCTCTGGTTGCTGGGCGCGCGCCCCCGCTCCCGCCAGAGCCTGCCCGGCTTGTTTATTTACAGTCCCGGGAAGGATTCCCTTCCCCCAATCTTCGGCGCTCAGTGCACCCCACCCTCTTTCCCAGTGTCTTTATTGTTCTTATTGCTTATTACTCAGTTTCTCTTTTTTCCCAGGTGGAGGTCAGTCTGTCCAGGGGCTATGCTGCTCTGGCCCAGGCTTGTCTGTGGGAGTACGGCGGTACCGTGAAGCTCACCTGGTCCGCGTCTTCCCAAGCCGTATGGGCGCTGGCGACTGGCATCCCCGGGGACCCTCCTGGTTTCTCCATTTAATGTGAAGTGGAGAGCCTCTGCGCCGGCTGGAGGTGTGGAGGGGTCAAAATTATGCCTCTTCTCAGTGATTATGCCTGCAAAGTGTGTCTCCAGCGTCTCTCCAAGATTTCACTATAGGAGGCTCGCTTTCTGCTTCCTCCCTCTAGCCACCATCTTGGAATCCCTCTAGTAAAATAGTTGTATAAGTATTCTATAATTCAGACTGTCCAAGTCACATTAATGCAACTCATTTGCATATGACAGGAACTATCTCAAACACACTAAAGGCATAAAGAATATGCATTTCCCATATACCTACCATCTTGCTTAAGCATAGAACATTATCATATAATGGAGCCCTGTGTACCCTTCCTTAAGTGGATAACTTCTTTTGCCTCGGAAATAGCAATTGATTATCTGCATTTAAAAAAAAAGCACCATCTCTGCAGTTTGAATGAGTGATAGTTGCGCTGGTTGCTGTGTAACTTGCTTATTTCACTCAGCATAGTTTGTTTGCACTCATCCATGATAACAGGTGTGGTCTGCCTTTATACTGCCTGTGATATTCCACGATATGATATGCCATCATTTACTTACCCACTCTCCTGTCGGTGAGTTTCCAGTGTTTGCACTTGACAAGCTCTTAATTGTCTCTTACAGTTCTCTCCCTGCATATATGTGAGAGGCTCCTGGGGCAGCGCCTGTGAGTGAAGTCACTGGATTGAAAGGTACATATTTTCAGTTTTAATGCCTGCCTTCTCTGATCAGGTTCTCATGGCTATGCCCTTGCAAGCACTAGGTATTGTCACATTTTAATTTGCGATTTCATGAGTGGTGAATCTCATTGTTATTTAGAATCTCCTGTATTATTAGTGAGATTGAATTTTTCATCTTTTTTTTTTAAGACAGAGTCTTGCTATGTAGCACAGACTGGCCTCCAACTTTCCATCCTCCTGCCTCAGCCTCCTGAGTGCTCTCAAGCCCTGCTGAACTTTTATTCTTATATTTATTAGTGTTCCAGATATTTTTTTCCTATTATGGTCAACTCTCCATATCCATGGGTTCTGTGTGCATGGCTTCAACGAACTGCCAAAAAAATCCTCAAAAAAGAATTGCATCTGTACTGAACATGTAGACTTTGTTCCGTCATTCATTATTCCCTGTAGTTAACAGCTGTTTCCATGTGCATATTGTGTGGGCAAGTAAGCAGTCTAGAGAGGGTTTAAAGCATGCAGTAGGCTGTGCGTAGGCTGTGTACAAGACGATGCCTTGTTCTGTGAGGCCTCAGCATCTTCACACTGTGGTATGGGGGGTGGATATGCTGGAACTAATCTCTGAGGATACCAGGACCACTGTACTTCCTCTTGTATGTTATGGTTGAAAAGTTGAAAGTAGCATGGCACAGCTACCACTTGTATCTTTAAAATGCCAACAACGGTGCAGGTGTTTGTGACATATAATTTGTGTATTAGAAAGCATGGACTTTGGAATTAAATCAATGCCTGAATCCTGATTTTGTTAGCTATATGTAATCTCTTTGAGTGACTTGTCTCTTCTTCTTTAAAATGGGTTTGATACCTCATGGTTTGATGAGAGCCTTAAAGGAGACAGCATTAGCCCCTGGCACATAGGACTAGTACAGAGTTTTAGGATGAAATGTCCATACGTGGCCTCAATAATGAGAAAGATGGGCGATAACATGGTGTATATGTATATAGAGCAGTCCTGACATCTGGAAATATTTGTGAGATCAAAATGCCTGCTGGTAGTGACTGTAACATCAGTGCACTTTCATCCCAGGGCCAGTTGAGGAGACTGCTGACAGGGGATCCAAAGCCATCGTGTGTCTGTGGGTACACACCCCTCCTCACTTCCCTTCATCTTCTCTGATCTGGCAGTTTTCTGCAGGTCACAGTATCTGTGACAGTGGCAGGGCAGTCTAGGATCATAGTGGTGGCTGGACATAATCTTGGGACCTGGCCTCTGGAAGCTGGCCTCCGTCAGGGAATTCTGCCAGTAACAGCATGGCATGGGGGGACCCGATGCCAGAAAGCTGATGTGCAACAGACTCGCCACTGTAGAGAATTGTGAGTTGATTTCACTTAGATTGTTTTCATATTTTTACCGCAGGAATTTCATCACATGGCGGCTGAAGAAGTGACCATTACGGTTCGTCTCATTCGTTCCTTTGAACACCGAAATTTCAGACCTTTAGTGTACCATGGAGTTAATTTGGACCAAACCGTAAAGGAGTTCCTAGCATTTCTAAAGCAAGGTATGCACATAAGGTCTTTCTGTTTTACTATGTTTTTAAAATTAGCTGGCTGTGCCATTAATAATCCTTAAAAATAAAAAAGTAAGTTGGGTGTGGTGGGGCATTTCTGTAATCCCAGCACTCTGGAGGTAGAGGCAGGAGGATCTGGAGTTTGAGAGTTTGAGGCCAATCTGGGCTACATAGAAAGTTCTAGGCCAACTGAGCTACATAGTGAGATCCTGTCTTCAAAAAAATCTTGAAGATGTTGATGTAGATGCTGAGCTAGGGGCTGGGCTGGCTGCTCTTCTGACCTTGGCATAAGCCTGCCCCAGTGGTTAACATGCATCCTCACCAGGTATTGTTGCCATCGGGTTTGACTGAAAAAAAAAAAATTAAATCATGTTTGCTTGTGATGGCCCTGTGTCTTTGGAGGTGGATTAACAAGGGACTCAGCACAGCCGCTTGTGTTACACAGCTGAGCACACAGGGGACCTCGGTCCAGGCATGGCAGAAAGGTAGCAGAGGACTGTACAGCCAGGAAATCACCAGAGTTGATGGTCACTGTGGTTACAGAAGTGACATCCATTCTAATGCTCTTGGTTTATTACTTTGAACTTAAAGTAAGCAAGAATTTAATCTTTACTTTGATAGATCCTTCATGGGTTTCTCATTATTGAGTGTTGCATTTGATAAACACCTAGCATAAACTTTTATTATTTTAACTGAAGTTGCAAGAGGACAAAGCATCTCCCTGGCTGTTCTTCGTGCTGAGTCCCCAAATGCCAATGTATGCTGGCTTTATTTTCCCCTTCTCACTCCTCTTCTCTGTTCTCTCACTTTCTCTATCACCCTCAAGCCACTTTTTTTCTTTCTGAGCCATTTAGAAATACATGCCTGACAGGATTCCCCATTTCTCTTCACTATTTCGGTGTGTCTTTCCTTAAAAAAAAGGAATTCTCTTTTTTACAAAACCACGGTGCAATGATCAAACTCAGGAACTTGACATCAAGATTTAATTGAGATTTTATTGAGACTGTAATTGTCCCAGTAAGGTCTTTCATGACAAAAGAAATGATAAAGTCATATGTTGTACCCGTTCCTTTAATTGGACACGCTTGTGGAGTGTTTTGTTGTATTTATCACCTTGACAGTTTTGCATGGCACAGTCTGTTTTCTGGAATGCTCCTCCTTGGGTTTGTCTGATGTTTTCTCCTGCTTTAGATTTAGGTTCCACTTTGGGTAGGAAAATCGTAGAAATGATGCTGGTGCCACCATACCAGGATAGGTGCCCAGGTTCAAGCAGTGGTGAAGGTGGTGTCTGCTTTTTCAGTTGTAATTGAAAAGCTTTCAATGGAGACAGAGCCAGGGGCTCTGCAAAGATCCTGTCACTTCTCTGCATTCACCCACCAGTTAGCATTCTTTGGTAATTCTGCAGTGTCAGTTATGGTGACTTTTTATGGTTATTTTTTTCAAACTGATTTTTCTACTCCCATAATTCCTTTTTACAGATATTAGTTGGCTTTTTACAGTAAGAGCTTTCTACTTTCCCCTTTCTGATTTATTTAATAATTTGTTTATATCACTGTATCATGGATCCCTACTTTATCTAAAGGCTTGGCTGACAGAGTGGTATAAGTGGTAGAGCGCCTGCCTAGCAAGTATGAAGCCCTGTGTTCAAATCCCAGTGCTGACAGAAAAAAAAAAACCCACGCAAAATTAAAGACTTATAACTCTTTATTATCATTGGGAGCCCCTACCATCTGGCTTTGGAATCCTTTTAGGATGTCCCCATAGTCTTGAACACTACCTTTTGGTATAACTAGATGTTCACTCTTATTGTATTCTTTGTCTTCCCACACTCAGTGTCAGCCATTTATTTCTCTGAGGAGGTCTCATTCCATTACTGGAGAATGGTATTTGAAAATCAAGATTTTAGTTTCTATATGTGCAATGTGTGTATAGTTAGATATAGAAATACACATTGTATTATATATAATGTGTATGTATATACATACACATAGACATAGATGTATTTATTTATTTATTTCTGTGGGGCTGGAGATGGAACCCAGAGCCTCTCACATGCTAGGCAAGTGCTCTAACATGGATCTGCATTCTGAGCCCTACCTAATTTTTAAAAATGTAGGGAATGCTTAATATTTCAATTCCTGCTTGACCTTGTAAGCTCTTCTCCCTAACATTTTTAATTCCCTGTGTATTTGGGGGTAGTTTTCTTACTACCCTGTATTATGGAGAAGTAAAGGTTTATAGATCCTTGAAGAAGACTAAAATTACAGTCTAACTAAGGGAAACCTAAACAAAGCGTCTAGCTCCACTTGCTTGTAGCTGACTCTCAGTCTCTTATTTGGAGGCCATGCAGGGGTAGTGTGGTATTAGTTTCCCGACTTGCTGTTGATGACACCTCTGACGTGTGGGTCATGATGACCATGGTCACCCAGCTTACTTTCCAGGAACTTAAAGTCCACTTTTGTACAAAGCATTGACTCTTCCCTGGCCTGTACAGGTGACTGAAACAGGGACAAGCTTGGCATCTCTGCGTTCATGCTGTGCCTGTCTTTTTTGCTACCTTAACCTCTGGGACAGACTGTTCCTGCTGAACTCTGCATGCAGACTGGTTGGTTACTCAAAGAATGTTTGTCCCAACTGGTAGTAAAAGTGACTTTCCTTAAATTCACCTAATCTCTCCTCCCCCTTTACAGCTGGAGACACCAAGATAAGAGTAAGATACATTCAAGCTTTACAGGGGCATCACAGTCTTGTGATTACATGTGTACTAGCCACCAGGTTTCACAACCCGTCCTATTCTATGCCACCAGAGAGGTGTCTGGAAGTCTGCTTCGGCAGTCCTTTCCTAGCCAAGGGTCCCTTCTTTCCCCCTTACCTAAGGATCAAAGGAGCTCAAAACTTGCGCTGAGTTAAGCTGGGGTTTTTCCAGGGCACTCACCTGCCCTCTTCTTAACTTTGGTGGCCTTCTGAACAAATCTTTTTCCTTGTCCCAACAGTTTGTTCTCCACTCATTAGGCCTCTATTTGGGAAGTGAGTAAACAGACTTGAATTTGGTGACAAGTCTACTTTGTAGAGAGTCTTTAAAGGATAAAGTAACTTTATTGACTTATATATACAGTATAGTTTTATTGCTGTCTTCTAAATTATTAAGGGAAAATTGACAGTGTGTACTAAGAAATAATGCTTTAGGGGAGAGGAAATAATTGATTCTTCAACCTTATAAGTTCTTGGGTGGAAGAGTCACCTTTAACAAAAGACAGATTAACAAGAGAAAACCGAGTCATTTTATTAGTGACTGTCTTTCGCTGGGAAAGACTCCCTGGGACTGCCCAGGGAGTGACACATTCTCACAGTGGAGGTCCTGAATTCCAGCTTATATGGCATCTTTTTTTTTTTTTTTAAATTGGTAAATTTAATTGTGTATGAACCATGCCTCAATACAAGCAATTGGAAGTACTAAGCAAAAGACCTCAAATAAAAACCTGGAGAGGTCACCATTGTGATCTTGGGATTAGCAGTAGGAGAGTTAAGTAAGGACTGAGAGTTTGTATATGGCATCTTCAACAAAGAGCAGTCGATTTTTAGAGAAGTGCTAAGACATCGGAAAATGAGTCCTGAGGGAAAGGAGCAGGCAGCCTTGGTACAGCTCCCTCTACTGCCATCTGCTGGCTGGTAGGAAAAGTTGTCTTCGGTGGTTAACCTTGCCCTGGTGGAGAGGGGTAAGGATATCCTTGTCTTTGTAAATCTAAGTGCTGCTCTTAGGCAAATACAGAGCTTTCTGTGTCTTTAGTTCCAAACAATCCTTATGCGAAATAGGCGTATATTGGGGGCGGCACATTCTGTCTCAAAAAGAGTATACTGCTTTTGAGACAAAAGTATATTGACATTTTCAACTAAAAAATTCCTACATTTTGACATGAAACGTGTATTGAGTGTTACAGCATTTCTTGGTGTTAAGTGCTCTGATGTTCTTGATACAGGCGGAATGGGTTCCTTTGGAGTAAGATATACTTTTAAAGCTGCTGCAGGCTAAGGCAAGTTGTCCTCTGTCTCCCCAGGTCCCCAGAATGATTCGTTGATTGCAGTGAGTGCTGTAGTTGTCCCCAGCAGAGCGTGGCCCCGTCACCGGCAGATGGTCAGGCCTGCCTGCTCAGGCCTTCCCATTAGGAGTAACATAACTGCTGCGCATTTGGACTGGGCACATGAGAAAGTGTGTTCGTTCCACTGCCACAGAAAGTGAGCTAGGGGTGCAGACTCTGAGCTGTGGGTTCAGTGCTCAAGCCTGTCTTTGTCATCTGATTTGTGGTCCTGTGGAACTCTGAAAAGTTGGTGGGGCACACATTTGCATTTTATAAATTGTGTGCATAACAAAGACCAAATATTGGATGGTGAGAAATTTCTGCAATATCACAATGATCACCATGGATCAGAATTCTGCCTAGACTGCCCCATTTCATCCTCACAGTAGAAGCTATTTTATTCCCATTTCACAGGTGAAGAAACTGAGGAACAGAGAGGCTAAGAAACTTGCCTGAGGTTACAGGGCTAATAAAAAGCCATGCTATAAATCAACCCAAGGCAGTTCAACTTTGAATTGTGTTCTCTTAAACGCTACACCAAATTGCTATTTCAGGCTTTTTCTGTGCCTCACCTGCTTAAGTAAGATCTCTGAAAATAAGTGGATTTCACTCAGTGTCAGAAGCTTTTGCAGCGGGCATGGTGGTGTTACCTGTAATTCCAGCACTCAGGAGGGCTGAGGAAGCAGGACTTTGGGTGTAAGGCCAGAGGCTACATAGCAAGACCCTGTCTCAAAACAAAACAAGTCTTTGACATTCACTCATCTTGCTCCACTGTCTGGAATGCTGAAAACTGGAAGGTTGGTTGATATTGTGGCACAGTGAACTGTGACAAGTGATCTTCTGGGACAGAAGATCTTGCTTTGCTAACCACTCTTTTCTCATCGTAGTTACTTTTTACCATCTGTGGTTTAACCT